CTCCTGCGCTCCTGCGCTCCTGCGCTCCTGCGCTCCTGCGCTCCTGCTCCTCCTTCTCCTTCTCCTTCTCCTTCTCCTTCTCCTTCTCCTTCTCCTTCTCCTTCTCCTTCTCCTTCTCCTTCTCCTTCTTTATGAACTTCTTTATGACATTTTCCTAAATGTTCATCACTATGCTTTGTTCACAGCAGCCCCTCATTACCCTCTCCTATCTCTCAGCCTGCTGGTCCCTCTCCTCCCCTTAAAGAGCTCACTTCTGCTTCAGAGTCACATAGGTTTGTAAATCTAGATCCCACGTATGAGGAGAAATGCACGTAGGAAGCACACATGCGATTGGCATACGTGATTATGAAGGCTTTGGTGAGGCGGGTCTGTCTGGCTCTGCCTCTCGCATATCACTCTTCAGTGCAGGCATTAGTTCCAGGCACTCTGCTGCCTGGGCTTCTCTGGCAGAGCCCTCTTCATGTCTCTGCCTGAGATTTATCTGCTCTCCAATTCTTGGTAGCTGTTATATCCTTAGTAAAGCCAGCGAGACTTCACTTTTCTCATCTCCCAAACGTACCTCCATGGCCGAATTCATCTCTCCAGCACTAAGCCCTGTTCATGTACATTGTAGTTGCTCCTAGGGAAAACACCATTATGCCTCTTTTTGTGGCAAAATGAAGAAAACTTGAGTCAACTGCTTTTCTGGAGTAAGAATCAGCAAGCTTTTCTTACAAAGGGTCAAATAGGAAATATCTCAGGTTTTGTGGTTACTCAGTCTCTGTCACACTCAGCTCTTATAGAACCAAAGAACCATAGCAAATACATCACTGTGGTCTACCAAAAACTTCTTACAAAAACAGGTGGTAGGCTTGCTTTGGCCAGCAGTCAAGTGTGCTCACCCACTTCTAGAGACTGAGTCTGAGCTTGAACTAAAATAGACAAAAGAATGTTAGAAACCAAAACTCAGCCCCTGCTCTCAAAGCATCCCCTTATCTTGTCGCAAAGCTGTCACAAGTCGCAGCTGTAAGACATTACTTTGGTGCTAGTTCTTATGGCACAGGCCTGTAATCTAAGATCTGGACACTGGGACTAGAGAATTCCAAGCTCTATATATTAGCTAATTAGATTACATGATGAGTCCAAGGCTTCCCTGGGCAACTTAGTGATATCTTATCTCAAAAAACTGAAACTCAGATTTACCTGCTCTTTAACTCTTGGTAGCTGCTACATCCTTAGTAAAGCCAGCGAGACGTTTCTTTTCTGTTGTCCCAAGTGGACTTCCATGGCCACACTCATCTCTCCAGCACTAAGCCCTGAAGTTGTAGGTCAGTGACACAGCACTTGCTTAGCATGCACAAAGGCTTGGGTTCAACTCTTAGTACCACAAAAATAGATATATGTGATAATATATATATATATATATATATATATATATATATATATATATATATATATGATAAATAGACAGATATATGATAGACAGACAGACAATATATAAAATCAGAATTCCATAGGAAGCGATCAGTAAGCAGTTGTATAGTTAAACTGAATGGCACAGTGGAACAGGGCTCGGAGCTAGAACTCTACACAAAACTCTTCCTCCCTAGTTTCTTCTCATGCAAAATTAAATCTCAATTAGATGTCCAGGTTCTCAGCTTCCCACAAATAGAAAACCTTTCCTTCTAAGAGCAACAGCCACTCTAAGACTTGGCATGATAGGCTCTTTCCAAAATATAACCCATTCCTATCTGTTCCTGATACCATCAGATAAAAACAGCATTGTTCAAAGGCAGCCAGAAAAAAAATAAAAGATCAACCCTGCCATTTTTGCATTTTGCAGGCTACAAACTTCAGCTGAGGCAGTAAAGACCTTCTGGTGTTCCAGAGTAGTATTAGAGCCATTATGAGCAATGTGCTAACCTACATCGTTTTATATCAGTGATATGACTGGAAAGCAAACAGGAAGAAATAAACACAAAAAGAGAAGGAATTACAAAGCTGAGAGCCTACTGAGGGCAGTAATTGTTTATCTGTGTGGACACAGAATGTCCACTATACACAAGAAATGTTTGTTGATAAATGAATAGGCGGGAACCTAGAAAATCCAGTTAGCCAAAGCGTACACACATTCTCCATACTCCTTGAAGCATGGTCTTAAATTAGTAGTATCCATGGGGAAGTTTGGAAACTTCCATCTGTTTGTGGCAAATGGGGCATGCCATTCTTTGTCCAGCAGACTCACCATCTTGAGTATTTGGACTCAGGATTTGGGTGTGGAGTTCCTCCAGGCTAATTCCCAGGCACCTGCAGATCTCCTCCTGGCTGTAGGGTTCAGCATGAAGGGCATCCTCTGTGACCAACAGCATCTCTTCCAGACTAATCCCTAGCTTGCTTTGCACTTCCTCTAGCCGCAGGACATTATCCCATTGCAAGCCTTTGTGTTTAGCAAGGACCTGCAAGTTCAAGCCAAGACAGAAGTTAAGTTTTACTTCAGATTTCAATGTTCTGTTTTAGTTAGATTCAACTTGAACTTTTTTTTTTCCATTCAAACTATACAACCTTCCCACTATTGCTCGGAAATGCATTGTGGCCTCCAATGTTTGGAATTAAATATGCCTGTATATACTTATATACTTAAAACACATGCATTGCAAATGCATGCTGGAGCATGTGGGTGTGTACACAATTCCTCATTCCTGTTTCTGTTTGTCACCTCTATCCCTTGGGCAGAGGTCCCCAACCTGTGGGTCACAACCCCTTTGGGGGTTGACTGAATTTTTCACAGTTGGCTGCCTAAGACCTTCGGAAAACACACACATTACTTTTCATAACAGTGGGAAATTCACAGTTGTGAAGTAGCAACAAAATTAATCATCGGCCTGGGGGAGGGTCACCACAGCAGGAGGAACTGTATTAAAGGTCAGAGCATTAGGGAGGCTTAGAACCACTGCTCAAGAGCTATTCTTGAATAGTCTCACTCTTTTATCTCTATTCAGACTATCTATACTTCAACCTTCTGTATAAAGTCTGGAGAAAACTATTCAAACTTCATTTGACCTTAGTCCTGAGATGTATTCTGCAGCCCTGATTCTATTAAAATACTCCGTTTATCATGGGTGTCTTGAAAATGGCTAATGAATTTAAGTATTTGAGTATTTAGAGTCAAGTGTCACCTTTTAAATAAAAACCTCATTGGTGATCCTATGAAAAGTTTCTTCATTAGGTCCCTGGTAGTAGTACATCTCTATGTTTCTTTATCCTCCAGAAAAAGCTTGGCTTCCAGTTATATCCTGAGGTAGTCCCACAATCTGATGGAAGGCCTGGAATCTTCCTAATCTTCCTGATCAGGTTCAGTCACGGGAGTCCTAACCCAGAATACATTTCTTTCATTATCCCTAAGCCACTGACACTGAGAAATAATGAAAGCTCTTCCTTCTCTGAGGTCTCAAGAATTCATTGTTTGGACGTGAAGACAACAGGTACAAAAATAAAATTTAGAGAGAATAGAACGTTAGTTGTCAATAAAATGTGCATCTGGTTTGCTATTCCATTATATTGATTTGCTTTTTTTTCTCTTTATTTAAAAAACTTCATTTATAGAATATATTTTGATGTTTTCCCCTCCACAAACTGCTCCCAGATTCTTCCCACCTCCCTACCCAACCAACTTCAAAAACCCCTACAAAATGAAAATCAACATCAGTAAGACAAAAACTGGCAAAGCAAAACAAAAACAAACGAAACAAAAAGCCTACATAAAAACCATGGCATTTGTGCTGGCCAACTACTTCTGGTCATGGAGCCTGTTCTTGAATATGGTTCATAAGTGCCAGTGGGTATCAGTCACAGATAGCTTCTTGGTTAGCAGGGAGGATCCATGTCCACTACCCCTCTTCAATGCTGGGACCCTGTCTACCTTGAATCTGTGCAGGTTGTGTGCATGCGGCCAGTCTCTGTGACGTCATATGTGCATCAATCTGGAAGACATTGTTTCATCTGAGTCCTCCACCAGCTGGCTCTTACAATCTTTCTGCCTCTTTTCCACACAGATCTCTGAGCCTTAAAGGAGGGTTTGATGAAGACATCGCATTTAGAACTAAGAATGTCACTCTCTGTATACTGTCCAGTTATGGGTATCTGTGTTAATTCACATTTACTGCAAGATGAAAATTCTCTGATGTGGGCTGAGTGAAGCACTGTTCTCTGGATATAGCTGTATATAATTAGGAATCATTTTATTAGTGTGTTCCTTTAGCAAAGTAATGGTAGGTTTTCCCCTAAGCCCATGACCTGTCTAGTATCAGGTTCTTGGCACTTTTAGCAATAGCAGGGATAGGCTCTGTCACAAATGGAGAAGGTCTTAAATCCAATTTTCTAAAGTGGTAGGTTACTCCTGTAACATGTGTGCAACTATTGCACTGTTGTAGGTGGCAAGGTTTGAAGATGGGTGATGGGTTTGTTGACTACCTTTCTCCTCTGGAAGTGTTTAGAGGACCTTCTAGTACCATAAATACTACTTAGTAGAGGTGAATCTTCTAGCTGGGCACCAGAACACTACTTCATCAAGTGTTCTATGGCATAAATAAGTGTCTTCAGAAACAGGACCTTACAATCAGGTTGTAGAGAACAAGCAATAGTGTTGGCAACAGCCCATGATGTTTGGGGGAGGTTCCACAGTACCCCTTTCGTCAGTGACTCAACATGATGGAACACATTCCTAGCACTGGAGGATTTAATACAATGTCTATTTGGGACACTGTCACCACTATTATTTGGTGACCCACTTGGATTTCTTTTATATATGCTCACACGTTAGGAACTTCTATGGTAGTGGGTTTCCATATGGTTGTCCCAATGTTCTTGAGTGTTAGTTGTCCCTCCCCATATTCTCTCCTTTACCATCCCCCTTCTTCCCCCCCATCCCCCCCTCTTCCATCTCCCTCCCTATTTAATCCTCCCAGTCTTGATTCCTCGTTATCTCTCCATAACACTATATTTTATTTCCTCTTCCTTGGAAGAGATTCCTGTTCTCCATGGTCCCTTACTAGGTACCTGACCTCTGTAGTTATGTAGCACACATTTTGAAAGCTTAAAAACTCACATCCACATATGAAAGAAAATATACAATATTTGTCTTTTGGAGTCTGGGCTATCTCAACTCAAGATTATTTTTTTCTAGCTCAATCCATTTACCTGAAAATTTCATTTTTCTTAACAGCTGAACATATGTAAATGTACCACATTCTCATTATCCATCAGTTGGTGGACATTAGGCTCTTCCCAATTTCTGGCTCTTATGATTACAGCAGCAATGAACACAGATAAGTTAAGTGTCTCTGTAGTAGGTTTTAGAGTCCTTTGGGGTATATGCCCAAGAGTAGTATAACTGGTTCTTGAGGTAGATCTATTTTTGGCTGAGGAATCTCACACTGATTCCTACACTGATGTACAAGTTTACAATCCCACCAAAAATGAATAATTGTTCCTCTTGTTCTAAAACGTTGCCAGCATGTGATGTCACTTGTTTTACTGACCTTGGCCATTATGACTAGAGTAAAATAAAATCTCAAAGTAGTTTTAATTTGCACTTCTCTAATGGCTAAGGATGCTGAACATTTAAGTGTGTCTCAGTCAGTTATGGCTCATCTTTTGAGAACTCTCTGCTTAGTTCTGTACCATTTTTAATTGGGTTATTTGCTTTTTGGATGATTTTTTTTTTTAGTTAGGTTTTTCTTCCTTTTAGAAAAGATGCAGGACTTACCAAAAGATGGTTATAAGTTTGGTTAGAATTGCTCACTTCTGAAATGTTACTAGCTAAAGTTTTCAAACGTGTTAATAATATTTCTTAAAACCCTGGCTCATATACTTGAAAGGGATGACTTTAAAGGAGAACTGGGAACAGAGACAATACAATTGTTTTTCTGTTCAATTATTTCACAGAACAGGGTATCATTTTTTTCTTTTCAGTTTTTGTTCCTCTTTTCTATTCCTTTTATTGAGTTTGTTCTTTAACAATTTCACACATATAAAGTTCCTTCTGGTCAGTGTAGCCCCAGCCTCTCTAATCTCCCTCCCAGTCCTATTAAACCTCCCTTCTCCCCACAAGTCCTTCTCCCATAATCAAGGCTTTGTTTTTTCTTGTTCTGTTTTTGTCTTTAACTAGGATCATCTGTGTGACCATGGGTGGGGAACTATTCACTGGAGCCTGGTCGAACCTCCATGGGCACACACCTGAAAACAATGACCGCCTTTTCACCAGAAACCACCAGGAGGAAGAGTTCAGCCTGAGGATAGGGCACCAGAAGTTTCTCCTAATCCATTACTAACTGCATAAACAGTGAGCTGCTGTGTTCCTGAGAGGGAGGAAAGCGGGAAAGCCACTTAAGTCTTAGAAATTTGGCTCAGGAGTCAGAAAGATGGCTTGCAGATGAGGGTGGGTGAGATAACTTGCTCAGAGACAGAACCTAAGGAGGGAGTGTGTCACTGCTAACTTTATGGCTGGCACACTTGGCATCTGGGTGGCAGGAGTATGAGTCAGGGCTGCAGGTCATTTCCTCACAGCTTAGAGATAACAGGTCTTCAACATTCACTACTCTCTTTCGCCACAGCAAACATGAGGGCTTCACATCACATACTGCTTCAGAGAGGATCCTGAGTAGGCAACAGTGCTTTGTCCCCAGTGATGGAAAAGGTAGGAATAAGCAGGTTAGGACACCCGCACCCCCCACATTGATGAATTGTCCCTCTAAGCAGGCCTTGAGGCAAGCCGATAAGGGACAGAATTTGTGAAGCAGGTGCGGCTAAGGACCAACAGAGAAGTGTGAAGTGACTTCAGAGTCTGGGATATATAAACCTCAGCAGTGTCTACCTGAAAGCAAGACAAAAGGTGTTTCCCATTGCTCACAATCACCACTCATTGGGCTGTTCTCAGGGTATGAACTTCCTAGTACTTACAGGGTGTCTTAGCTACAAACTAAACTACTAAGCATTCTCCTCTATCAAGAAAACTCCTGCTGACAATGGCCAAGGATCTAACAGGAGGCACGGCACTGAAAGGATATGGACCCCCACTTTAGGGGCACAGCTGTCAGAATTCACTTCTCTGGCTTCCTTATTCAATTTAGTAGTACTAGCCAATCAGTCGGGAAAGCGTGTAGCCTTCTCTTCTTGCCTCCGTGGGCACCAGGCATGCACATGAAACACAGATATACATGTAGGCAATAAACCCATGCACATAAAATACAAATTTCAGCCGGGCGGTGGTGGCGCATGCCTTTAATCCCAGCACTTGGGAGGCAGAGGCAGGCGGATTTCTGAGTTCGAGGCCAGCCTGGTCTACAGAGTGAGTTCCAGGACAGCCAGGGCTATACAGAGAAACCCTGTCTCGAAAAACCAAAAAAAAACAAAAAACAAAAAAAAAACAAACAAACAAAAAAAAACAATTTAAAAAAAA